TAGAAAAATATTTTGTACACAATACAGTAAACTTATATTTCAGCATAAAAATGAAACTCATTTTCTCTGTTTTTTTTTTTTTAAATGACAAGTACAAGTAACACTGCTATTTGTCTATCTATAAAGAAAATTTACATTTACGAGAAGTTTTCGATGCATTGTCCAAACAGACAAGTTGATCTTGCCAAGAAACTGGCCATTTTGTTTGCCAATCTTGTGCACTTAATCATTGGGGACACATTTACTAATTTAATTTGGCTACAACAACATTAGATTTAGCTACTTTTGGTAGTGGCAGTTGGCAACACTAATTCGAAGCCGAATGTCGGGCCAGAAAATTGTTAAATTGGCATTCATAAAAAAGCATATGAATGTACATATGTACAAATGTGTGTAACATCTCGGCGCATATTCGCGTTTAAGAATACATACATATGCTGAAAAATACGTATGTATATGCATAAATGCATATATGCATATACATGTGCACGCACATAAGTGTGCATACTATATGCGAAAATGTATAATTTCTGTCAAACAAAAATATTTAATGTTATGTATTTACGAACGCATTCGCATCTTTAAATATACAATGCACACAATTGCATACATTGATTATTTTGAACATGTATTTACATCTATGTAAACACACACATACCCAACAATACTTTAATATATATACATATATATATATATATCCACGTTTGGAAAAATATTCATCAATTCGACCAATACTACGGTTTGACTGCCATGAAGAAAACCACGACTGCACAATACTCTGTATCAATCTCTCTCAATAAAAAAGTGGCCTTCTTGATTATATTTATTTTAAGACAGTTCATTTGGAACTCTAATTGGAGGAAATATTCTGTTATGATTGGCAGTCGAGGGGTGGTTTCAAAAGGGGGTCATCAGTACGTGACATCATCAGTATGACACGTAAGAATGTTTGCTGTTTGGTAAAACCGACTGCATAATACTCATGTGCATTCCAATAACAGCTGTAAGAAAGCGATAGCCTATACTCATCTAAATGGAATTGAAGGGTATATTACTTTTGCATCTGTATAAGCGCTTGCAGTGCACTTAACGATCGAGATTATTACAAAATCAGTAATTCTCTCCGATCGCACTAAATCTAAGCTCTTTACAGCTAGAGACGCTCACTTTGGGATGCGTGGTATTTTAGAGTACTCAGGACTCTTTTTGGATTCATCTCTCTGTTACAGTTTAAAAATCTTCTTTGAAGGTGTTGCCGTGTGCTTTGGTAAACACACACTTTTGTATGCCATATTCAAGCGCAAATTCATAAAAGAAATTTTGAATATTTTTAACAGAAGTTCGGCGCTGGCTTTAGGGTATTTGTTAGTCAGGCACTCCCGACTAGAGCACTCTCACTTGATTTTGCTTTCATGTTTGCGCACTCACTCATGAAAGTTATAAAAGGAAATGACACACGCCAGCTGCAGAGAAAAAAATATAAATAATTTAAGAGAGCGCCTGACATTTCTCTTGGCTTTATCGCTTTCTTCAGTTTTAGAATCTTAATTAAGACTTATTTTAAATTATTTCAGACTTCAATCAAATATGTTTATGTTTGAGTTTATAAAACATGAATAAATTAAATGTTTTGCTTCAAATGATTCAAGATTGATTTCTGATACTCAGAATATTTGTGCTTTTCAAATGTTATTATGTTACTATATTTAGATGCCAAATTATTAGGAGGCCAAACCATGATCAAAAATCCAAACCCTGTGAAAATCAGATGAGATTTGACCGAGCTGTGATGGTGGACAATTTTGACCTATTTCTATATAGGATATTTCAGGGTACCATTTCCACATGAATTTTAACCAAGAATAATGTTACCAGATTTAGATGCCAAATTTATAAAGAGACCAAACCATGACCAAAAAAAAAAAATTTGACCAAGTTATGGGGGTGCAAAATTTTGACCCATGTCTATATAGGATATTTGAGGGTACCATTTCCACATGAATTTTTACCAAGAATTTAATTGCCAGATTTGATTGTCAAATTTATTTAGAGGCCAAACCACGAACAAAAATCCAAACCTTATGATAATCGCTCGAGTTTTGACCGAGTTATAGGGCTGGGAAATTTTTACCTAAGTCTATATAGAAAATTTGGCAAAAAGAGTGAAAAACGTATCAAATAATTTCTCACAGAGATCTTTGAAAATGAGTTTGTAAATACAATCGTTCATCGGTAAATAAGCACGTATTAGAATTTTCAAAATCGCTTTAACACGTATTCATTAAGATGCTAGTTCTAGTATTCAAAAGATTCTAGGGCTTTTGGTTTGGTCTGCCTGTTGATCACCAACTAGTCAGTCAGTCAATTACAAGCATATATAGAGATAGTTTACACAATATCTCAAGAATTTCACTTCATCTCTTTTAGACAGTTACTCGACCGGCTGTCAAAATTGAATCCTTTAAAGACTTAAACTGTATAGAAAAAAGTTCTTCTTCTAGTCAAATGCCTCGCTCAAAAAGCCATTAGAGTGCAACATTTGGCGACACTCTTAAGTAAAAAGTATTTTTATCGTTTTAAGTACGGGAAATGACTTGCAAAATAGTTAACAAAATGCAATTAAAATACTGCAATTATAATTATAATTGGGCGCAACAAAACGGAACATAGCAATCAGAAGGCAGTCAAAAAGTCCAGCGGGCCACCAGGCTGGGGATGATTGTGACTGTCGGAAAGGTTAAAAAAAAAAAGCACCGTAGGCTAAGTTAATCTGAAAAGCGTTAATTGCTGCCAAGCTTGAATGAGCAACAGACAACAATACAATTATTCCAAGCGGTGCAACTGTAGCTTAGAGCGGTTAGAGGAAGCGAAGTTTTTAAAGCTCCTAGAAATTATATTGCAAGAAAAATGCTTTACTCTAGAGTGCCCGACTTGGAGATACCCTGAGTCCCGTTTCTGTATGTGTATGTGTGCATGTATGCAATGAAGAAATCTAAAATGTTGCTGTATTAATTGAAGTTCGGTGCGTTCTTATGGTATCTGCTAGTCGGTCACTACCGACCTGTTTTTCAAGGTACTTTTGGACCCAAAATATTTTGTACAACTCTGTGTGAAACCTAAAAATAAAGGACATAGGTTTGCTGTTAATCTTGGTTTAGCAACTTAACATTTGTCATTAGTTTACCTATAACTTCGTAATGATTTAACAATTTCGACCACATAAAGTATTTATATTTTTCTTGGAAATCAATAGCCGAGTCGATCTAGTCATGTTATTCTTTCTGTCCAGGGATATAGACTTGCAGTTTTAAATGTAGGTCCTCACGCTGCAGCTACTCCATTTCTAAACTATGAAAAATATTCTTGAGTAAATTCGGTGTACGATGTTTTTTTTATATATTCCATTACTTTGATTATTTATCATTATAATTTATATTTGGTATATAAACTTCAGCTTCAACTTTATACTTTCTTTCAATGAGTTCTTGAGTCCTGGTTTTTTCCATGTCTGCTCTGCTCAACATCACAAATCAGACTTCAGACTTCGTTATTGCTACTTATTAATCAACATGTGTCTTCTACTTCTATCTTATACTAGCCAGCCCAGCAGGATTTTCTAATAAAAAAACAACAACCAATAATCAAAATGAACGACCCAATTTTGTCTTGGCCATCCCTTTTTGTTTAGTTCTACATCCGATGCTCTAAGCTACTTCGCTCTTCTAACATATTGTTGTAGTTGATACGCAAAAGTCATGTCTTCTTCTTCTCCACTTGCTTACTGGCAAAAAGCCCCGCCAATTTGCTTAATATTTAATTTTTGGAAAAGCAAAGAACCCTTTCACACAATAGGTTAGCTTAACTTTTGATGTAACCAAAACATATTTACCATTATTTAATATATTTAATGTACTCAAAATCATACCATACGAAAGTATTGGTTGATTGTTCGATTCGAACAGACAGACAGACAGACAGATCAATAGATCAGAAATGCTTCCTTCTGCCTGTTACATACATTTCATTAGATGATTAAGCAGTTTATTAATTATAACCTGAACTAAATAAGGAATGCGTAAAAAGTTATATAAGGTCTATCTATGGCATTATATTTTGATTATAGAAAGCTTGTCCCGGAGTGCGTGGCAGAAGGAGTTTAAAGTGTCTCCTAGTTAAGTACTCTGGACTAGAGGACTCTTACTTGTTTTTAAGCTATGCCTCAGAAGCCTTTTGACCTGCAGCCTGCAGAGTACATATGCTCAAAACCTCGTTTTTTAAAAACGAATGTGCCTTTTATACCTTATTTAGAGTATCAGCTTGATTACTGATAAGCTACTATAGAGATTGAGCTAATATAATTGTTTATATGCGTGGGCGTGGTCACTCGCGCCCGCAAATTGCAAGAGTTTACAGTTCCTCAAGATTCAGTTCAAAAGATATATTTTTGGAGCTAAAAGCAACCAACTTAAAGCTGATGTAACGCTGTGAATGAAGTATTTTGCAGTTGATACGGTTGGACTGCATTGCAATTTTCTTACCAGTATTCTCTCGCTTTAGTCTGGTTTGCACTGCCTCCGATACCAGCACAACACAGAGAGCCATATTTCATAATCCTCTTGGGAGCACAGATTGTTTTTGCTCGGCCACGAAGAGACCGCCGACATTCTAATCGCTAAGCAGTGCACACAGCGTGCAGCCGGTATCTTCGCTTGCCTTTTTGCATACTGTTGGGATTGATTTTATACCCTGTACTTATTGAAAACGGGTAAGGAAAAGTATGTACCTCTCGCAAAAGAACAATCCACAAAGGATTAATTTTGTTCAATCTGTGAAAACGGTAAGTCACATCATAAGTCACTATAAAAGAAAAAGTAATTTGTACATATTTTTTAAAAACAAATACACTTAATTAAAAAAAAAATAAATAAATTTTAAAAAAACAGAACAAATTAATTTTATTTTTACCAAAGCTTTTCACATCTGCCTTAAATCGAAAAATATTTATTTATAATTTTTGTGTAAATCTTCACATTATAATATTATAAATTTAAAAAGAAACAAAGTAAACAAATGTTTCGTAACATTGCATATTCTTATATTTGAATTAGTTCTTTATGGCCTCAAATTTGAAAAGTTGAAATCACTTTAAGTGCTGAACAGGGTATCTTCTACTCGACTTGCGAACTCCGCATCGCTGTTCCTTTTCTGTCTGCTTCCCATTTGTGGGCTACTTTAATTCTTTTTCCAATTGGCTTGTTGATAACACATGGCGACAATTGGAAAGTGATGCGCCAACCTTCGGCTCAGTAGGAACGGAAATTGTCAACTGGAGCAAACATTTTACAGAGCTATAAGTTTACTTTTTGCCTATTTCATTCATGTTTAAAATATTTTTTGAGCATTTTAAATATTAAAAGCAGTTTTTCTTGCTTTTTTCCTTATTTAGTTTTTATTGAACAGCTTTAAGGAAAAAAAAAGTTGATGACTAAATTAAAGCATACAGAAACACATATAACTTCTGTGCTTCTTAACCAATCTTGATAAAAAGTAGATCTTGTTGTGCTATATAATATTCGTATATTCTCAAAAGAGACAATTCCTTTAAAATGATGGCCTAAATTGGTGGGTAGTTGCAATTGGTTTATTTGTTTGATTTACAACCTAGGGGTGTAGGCAGGGCGATAGCTTTAAAATGAAAGATTCTTGATATATATGTACTATTCTAGAAATTTTAAAAGTTTTACTACAAGTTTAACTGTCAGCATCGGAACACCATATAAGATAGCTGCGATGGGTAAGATCGGTGGAATAGTGGTGGAATATATGGCAAAATATTCTGTTTTCAAAGATATTTCAACAAACTTACCATATTCGAGCCGCATATTTTTGGCGGGCCAAAGATATTCTTACTTTCTCGTTCTTTTATAAAATTCCAATGGGCATTGCAGTCTTCTTCTTTAACATCATCTCGAGTTGCTTTGCAAATGTTGAGCCTTATTTATTGCTTTTAAGACTCAGAGCGACTGACGAAGTCAATTTGAAAATGAATTAAACAAAAAATATTAAAGCCAAAGTCGAATATACATTTATATATATTTATTTTGTAATTTATTAACATAAGAACGATTTTAATGTCACATGTACTTGTTATACTTTTCAAATAGTATATATGTTTATTGTCCTGTATTTCATTTCTGAGTATTTCAGTTGTTAGTTATTAAATATGTGTATATTCAAATATTTTTACAAATGTTTATAATAATATATGTGTACATGTACATTATTGTAGTATTATTAAATAAACGGGAACCTATAAAGTATCATGTTTATTATTGAAATAAGTTTTATATATAACAATTATCCATTATCTATAAATTACAGAAATAATACGGCTTATGCCAATATCCTTAATTATCTGTCAACTGGGGCAATCATATTGTTTGTTTTTATTTTAACATTTAATATGACTTTTATTTTGATAATTGCATTTTTTTAGGCTTAAGCGCAAACAGATAAGACTTACAAAATAAATTTCATATATTTTAAACAAAATGTTTCGAAACTTTGCTTATGTGGTTTAAACAAACTAACTAGTTACAACGCGACTCTTAACAAAATGGTTCAACGACTAAATTTTCAGATAAATGTTCCCTGATTTTTATGTCATATGTATTTCTGTTGCAATGCATATATTCTCATATATATTAATTACCAATTGATTGGCTAACTGTTATTTGTTAATTTAAATAAAGGCTAAGTACAACGTGTAACCGATTGCGCAATACTCTCTTCTCAGATCGGTTTAGACAACCAAATTATTTTGTTAATTTTCTTATGCGGGACTTATATGTAGAAAAATAAGTTGAATTAGAGTTTATTTATATAACTGTAAGTTGCTCGTGTAATAACAGTAAAATTAAAGATACAAGAAAACTATCTAAACTGCAATGCAGTGACTTTATAGCTGAAACTTTAGGAAATATCAATTTGCCGGCGGGGATCTGCAGAGATCATCTGCAGTCTAAACTAGAGCTGTTAAGCGAAGTTTAATTAAACGATTAAGTTCAATCGTTTAAGTTTTGCTGAGCAATCGAATCGTTCTATACCTATACCAAAACGAACGATTAAGGGACTCGAAGGACCAAAACCAACGATGATTGATAATCTAAGGACTTAGGTTGTTTCTTCGATTCGATGCATCTCCAGTTTAAAGTCGCCTGTCCAATTTGGTGAACACTTTTATAGAGTACGCTAAAGTCAAAGGTTTTGAGTCATTTTCATATTTTGGATACTCCAACCCATTCCCAACAGATTTGGAATGTACAAACATTATTTTCGCCATATTAGGCCCTAAAGTTTTCAAGGAGAACGGACTAGTTACTCAGGAATTCATTTTGCAGTTTGTGGCATGCGTTCTTGTTTATTTATGCTAGAAGCCAAAACGCCAGCAGAGTTCCGGGCATATAATTTTGGCCTTACTTTAGCTTATGATGCATTAACACAGAAACATACACTCTTATTTAAGGCCAAGTACAGCAACTTACTAAAACATGTCTGCGTGATTCATGTATTGCAGATATATTGTTTTTGTGGCATGCATACAATTTGACCAGGCAAATAAACTAAATTGCCCAGCTACAAATTTATTGCTACTGCAATGAAATCCAGTATCTGCGTGGTCAATATTTTGAAGGCACGCTTTTTGGTCTGTTTTTACATATTAAATATACAAACAAGGTAGTTAGGTACATTTGTACCTGAGTACGTGTATGTCACACAGTCACAGAAGGAAAATAAAATAAATAAATAAAAAAAAGTCAAGATAAAACCCGAGTACTTTTCTGATGTAGTTTGACGAGCTTAAACTAAATGAACACAAACATAAAATGCAGGGCTTATTTTAAAATTAATTACTTTTTAATTAAGGATTTAATATAATATAAAATTTAATTCTGGGACTGTTTGGTGAAAATGTTTAAATTAAAAACTGTCAACATGTTTTCGAAAACCTACCAAAGTTTTCTCAATTAAGTTAATCAAACAAATTCGAATACAAAATATTAAATTGGTTGTTATTTATTTTATCAGGCCTTGAATTTTTTTATTTGTAAACTCTGTGAATGTAAAATGAGTTTGAGACCATGCGGATGGTAAACAAAAGTATGAGGCATGCAATAGGTTTCCGCCAATTTTTCGCAGTTGCGGGCGGAATTTCTAAAGATCTTAGCGCACATATTCATTAAGTTGTTGTGCAGAGGTTTTTACAAAAGTTTGATTCCGATTGGACGAAATTTAATTGAAAAAGATCTCAGTGAATTCAGCTTGGTATTTATTTGTATATACTAACCTACATGTTTGGATTTTGATTGAAGCTATGGGCCCTTTTGTATTACCCTGCCCTGTCTGGGTCAAGTGTTTATTATACAAATCGCAGCCGAGAAGGCGACTTTCCAAATCAGGAAATCCAAACAAAAGCATTCATTTTATAGATCTTTATAATTGTGTTTTCGAATTGGACAAAAGTAAAATTTAGCTCATGCAACCTTTGGCAGCCGCTTTCTACCCAGAAAGCATTTTACAGAATCCCTGAAAACGAAATTAGTTGCTTTGTGATGACAAATCAAACAATTGAAGCTACATAAATGTATTTGCTCGGTAGAAAACTTGAGATATTTGGTATGATGCAGGCTGGCAATGATACAATTACACGCAAGCAGGGGGGACCCTGTATCTGCGGTCGACCACATGCACTTTAGGGTATGCAACGGCACGTAGCAGGATGCGAGTAAATTATGCATGCAGCGTCAAGTGCAATAAAACAGAATTTAATGGGAATTTAATGTTGAAAACATTATCAGGCTCTCTGCATTTGCTAAAGTGTAGATGCGACAAACAAACGCGCTCAGCCCAGCAAATAAGTATGAGATAAGTGGAGAGGGCGTGTGGTTATGGGAGTGTGTGAGCATTTGACAATTGTCGAATCAGGCCATTTTTTGTAGGCTTCTGAGTCGCGTCTGCTGGATGCGGCTAACTTAAGCTCTGCTCTTTGCCGTTTTACCAGCTAAATTAGTGACACGGTCTGTGGAGAGCCGAAGAGCATCGGCAAATGCATGAAATTCGTTAATGCATGCATGCGACTGTGTGCGTGTGTGAGTGCGAGTGTGTGTGTGTGTGTCTGTGTAGTGTGTGTGCGTATGCTTGTCGGTGATGCGTGTTGGCTATTATTCCCTGAACCCTTTCTCATGGGCACCGTGGTGCCACCAAGCCCAGCACTTGAAGGTTTTGCTCTTATCGCCCGCTGTCCACGCAGAGACTCGATAAACAACACCAGGCCAGAACATGGCGAGACGGGCGAGGGGTGTGGGGTGTGGGGTGTGGTGTGTGGCACCCGCCGTCATTTGCACAAATGCGCATCATCATTTAGATTGTTCCGCTGGAGTCGAAATGCAACAATAGCATGAACCACATTGCTCGGACACTACACTCAAGCCCGCACACCCTCACTTTTACCACACACACGCAAACACACTCACTCTCTTTCTCTCACACACACCACACATACGCCGGACCGGACCGGACCGGACATAGCCGAGACTCACCACGATTGCAGCAATTGGAAGCTGTCGCGTTTTGTTCATCTCTCCTGGTGACTGCAGTTGGGATTGCAATGCAACAGCAGCCACTTTGGCATTTTCAATAGCCATGCATTTATGCAAATTCAATGCCAACTGCATCCCCGAATACAGACTACTACATCTGTACTCGGTGTATGTGTATGTTTGTATATGCATATGTATGTGTATGTATGTGTATGTATGGGTATATATGTATATTGAATGCATAGTTACATAAACTGATTGTGCTGACCATGACAGTGATATTCGGAATCATTTTCAAAAACTAAATGCGTATTTTCAAAACATTATTTTTCAATTTTTTAGCAAATTTTTTTATCCAACATTTAAAATATCATAGGTACCTATACTATCTTCAACACCCTGAAAATGAGTTTTAGGTGAATTGATTGAAGAACTTATCGTAGCAATCAAAATCTTTATCAAGTTTTAGAACCGTGGTGTGCACTTTAAAAAACCTTGGAACGCTTGTACATTCCTGTAAAGTCGGGGTCGACAGAAATCTCTTGGTAATGTATAGTATTTCAAATTCATCGGACCCTTTGTTTTATTGAATTGGTCAATGTCTTCTGTTTTATTGGAAAAAGCAGTTGAAATTAAGGAAGTGCCATACTTTAATTCCTACGAATCCTGAATCGTTTGTTGTTTCGAAAACGCAACTTTGAAAAATTAAATCTTTGTAAGTAAATAAACTTTAAAAGTTCCTACTGGGATGTTACAGTTTCAGAGTCGACAATCTTATATTGAGAAAGAAATTTAAACTGACTTATGTTATTTTAATACTGCGAACAGAGTATTGCGCAACGTTTTAACTTATTTCAACACTGTAGCGGGTCTTGGGTGATCTATAGATTTAGCTCGAATAATGTCCGAGGTAAATTCAACAAATCGATATTTATTGATTTATGTGTAACATAGGGAAATGTAGGCAATGTTTCAAGTCAATTGCTCTTATAGACTCTGAGATCAACCCGTTCAAGCAGACAGACGGACAGAGGTAATATCAGATGATATATACCTTATTCATTTTAAATACGAAAATACGAATTTTGAAGTATTGAATTCACAAACATAGCTAGTTTGACACGCCCATTTTTAAGAATCTTGAATAGACATGTATATATAGTAGTAAGTATATTGTTTCTGAGATGTCGGCTTCTGCATGTTTCATTCATTTCATTTTAGTCTACTCATTATTATGTAAAGAGTATACAATTTTGGTACATTTCTCATTAGTTGTTCGTAACACCTCATTACTTATGTTCAATTTACTGACTGATCAATTTTCATTCATTAATATTAGTTTATATTATTAATTTTTTTTTATAGGAAGACATTTTTGTATTGCATAATTCATTTTATAACTTTCGATTACTTTAATTATCTAATGTGAGCAAATAAGCTCAGTATAATGCCTTATATATAAAATTGTTCGTTAACATTCATTTTCTTGTTGTGTAAAATTATTGTGTTGTTTTTATTGTAAGCATGGGGTTTTGTTTCATTGTTATTGATTTCAATGGACTTTGAACTATTCTTAAAGGGGTCACATTATGTTTATGCATATAATTATATATATATATATATAAATTTTCTTATATAATTTAAATAGCAACCAGTTTTAATTATTTCGCGTCCATTATTAATATACAATATGTTTTCGCAATTTACCCAAATATTTTCCGTACAAACTATATAAAATAATTAGACAGGGCGAATCTCATACATTATTTCAGCTGTATGCAAAAATGCATTTCGAGCTTTCTCGTTTTCCTGTTTTTCAATGCATAACACGGTGCAATTCGCAACAAGTTAAAGCTTCGATCAACTGGCAACACGACTGGCAACTCTTAGAGTCAATAGCAACTTTTGCTTATGATAAGATCTTGAAATTGATATACGAATAATCTGCTCGCATTTATGTATTAGATTAGAGGACCAGCTTACAAACTTTAGTTGAATACTAAAAGAGGTCACTAAAATAATGGATATGTATAATCGAAAAGAACATGAAATGAATATATGATTTACTTCAAAACGACTATGATCAAAATTTGTATATTTAATGTTAACAGTTTTATTTATTTAATTTTGATTTTGATTGATTATTATTCTGATTTTCGTATATATCCAATTTATATATTGTCTGAATCTTTCACTCGTCTCGCAAAGTATTCGAAGTAGAGTATGATCCAATGTTATTATTATTATTATTTGTTTTTAAACTCATTTTAGAAACTTTCATGAACTTTAGAAACTTTATTGAACTTTAGTAGGAAGATAAATTTAAATCAACAATTTTGTGGTTTATTTTGAACCAGCAAGCTTTTAATTGTTGATTCAAATTCTTAACGTTGAAGTTCTATTCAAAATTGTCTTGAACTGAATATGAAAATCATTTTTTGAGTGATTTTAGTTTATGAAGTCTGGAATATATTTATGTTTTTCAGTTGATTTCCTATTTTGTGGTAAAATCATAAATATTAAATTTGATTAATTGAAAATAGATTCTCAAAAAATGATATAAAAATGATGTTTTATTACTACATATATATATTTTTTTAATATGTCGTATATGCAAGAACAAGCTTAAGCAAAACAATGAAGTATGCATATCATTTGTGATCATGTTTTTGGCGAATATATTGTAGAACTATTTTTGGTTCGTTATGTGCTTTGCTTAATTTTGGCAATATAGTACAATTAGCACTATTAAAATCTTACATGAGTACGTAGATAGGTTCATAAGTGTGCTAGTGCAAGTAAAGTTAACCATTGCTGGCTATGAAATGACTAGACAATTGAAAACCTTTGGAAAAGGCCAAGTCAAACCCTTCTTGTTTTTGTTCTGCAAACCCAATATTCTGCAGTGTTCGTATTGCGGCACTGGCTCTTTGCGCGCCTGCTTTTTTTGTCTGCATCCCGGTTGTTACAGTCTGGCGTGGATTTCGTTGGAAGCATAATTTTAAATGAGCTTAACTAAATACATAGACAATATGCAAAAAAGAGCCACCAGGGCATTAGTCGTTATCGTGGCTGTGCCAAGCAGCTGTGACCCCGCACTTGGAAACATCCAAGGCGTGCTAGGTGACGGTACGGCACCCGGCGACTTATATGTTTTTTCGTATCCGTTGCGTGCTGGAAGTTGCGTATGTACTGCAATAACATGTTTAAGCCAAAGTTTTAGTATTTAAAAGTGTTTTAACAATATATTATAAGTGCTTTGGTTGTCTCATGTTTATGCATTGGACTTATAAAGCCCTTAACTCTGATTTTCTTTGCTTATTTTAAGATATATACTTCAAAATATCACCTGCTTACACATGTTGCCCAATAATACATAAAAGTTAATCTAAATAATCTTATATTAATTTTAGCTATAAGTCGAGTTATAAGCTTAGTTTGTAAGTGACTTTTGTGGTAGCTTGGCCCAAAAATATATCGGCGCCTGTTCAGTTTCAGTTGCCGCTGGTCAATTCCGCTTGAACACTGATGGGGGTTGAGCAACAAGGACAGAAACGAAATTGAAACTGACTGCCGGAAAATTAACTTCAAAAGAGATTTGGAAAGTACGGAGAGTTTTACCAAAATACAGTTTCACTGATAAATCAGTGCACTCGACAGCTGCACGAGTGCTAAGTCCTGGTGACTACTACAGTTGTTGAGCTGGCTAGAGAAATGGGTGGAAAATAAGTCCGTAGTCGTTGAAGGGGGTCACGTACTCTTGAAAAGGGCTGCTGGGACTGCTACTGCTACTGCTACTGCAACTGCATGGGAGAACGAGTATGTTGCGGTTTGTTGTCCGTTGTACTTTTGGTTGCTAGTTTCGAAGGAAGCAAAGATCGAAGAAGTAAAGGCACCAAGCCACCAAGAGTTTCTTAAAAGGGCAGCCCTGGTGCAGCGACATTATATTTGTCCAAGTCATGGTCCCTTGGCAGAGAAGTGCCCCATGGCTGGTGGCATCGGCATCGCATGTGCATGCAAGCCGAGTATCCTGGTCCGGTAGATGTGGATGTGGTTGTGGATGTGGATGTGGATGTGGATGTGAGTGTTTGTAACTGCCGCTTATGCCTGACTTCATTCTATGCTTGCTCTATGCAGCAGCAGCATGTATTTGTGGAATTTTCTAAATCGTAACTTACCTTCCGCTCCGTTTATCATGCCGTTGACGTTTCCACTTGCCACAATACCACCGGCACCGCCGCCGTTGGCGCTCTGGGGCACACCAATCCCGCTGCCGAATACATCGTTCTCTTGCTGCATTTGATTTGAGAAATGGGTTTCCTTGGCACGCACCACTTCGTTCAGTCCCTTGTTGTGGCTGGGCTGCTGCTGCTGCTTCCGACGCGGCTTGGCCGTAGTATAAACGTGAGGTGTTGGTGTCGTTGTCGACTTGGGCGGTAATCGTAATTCTGCAAGAAATTGCACCAATTATGAAATGCCGAATGCCTCTATGCATGGCTAGAGGGGCAGAGGGGAAAGCAAAACAAATGGGGTGGCAGACAATCCTTAAAAATAAACACTGGGCCAACAACAATTGCAAATACAAACCACCTAGTGCTAGGGCTTTAACATTGTTCTAACGCTTTTATACCCTGTACTCATAGAAAATGGCTAACTAAGGGTATAATGTTTTAGTGCAATTTTATGTCTAGCAGACTTAAAAAGCAAGTGACACCAAACTTTTTAATGAGTCTTCCATTTCCACCACAGTTGAAAAAAAAAATAATTAAACAAAGTAATTCAAAAATGTAATTCCCTTAAAAAATGGAAGCACAGCCCCTAGTCGTGCACTCTCGCCTAGTATACATTAATATTATAATATAATTTTTAATATCTACTAAATAAGTTATACACCAAAGAAGGGAAGGGTATAAGGAAGCTCTTCAAATGGAAGATGGAAGTGTGTTCGACTCCGACTTAAATACGTTTTTATTTTAGATGGGGTCGATGGCTGCCGCGTGGAGCGGACTCAGATATCAGAGTCAGCAACCCTTTCATATAACTGGCATAGCCACTATGTGTTGTATGTTAAATAAAAGAAAACCTTTAGTTTTCGGTTTCAAGCTATTTTTCTCTCCAACCATCGAATCACTGCGAACTAATTATAAAATCGGACTAGGCCAAGCATTATAAAACTAACTACATTAGGAACAATAAAGTTAAAAAACTTACTGACATTTAATCTTAACTGTGTCTTTAGTGAATCCTTTAAGTGAAAATTAAAATTGCGACCACGAACTGGATGCAGCCCTGGTGGCAGTGCGAGCAGAGAAAGTTTTCCGCTGATTGTGCAATAATTCATGCTTAGTTTTAGTGCTCCAACTCCAGTTAACTGGAGAATGGGTATGTGGGGGCCTGGCCCACTGCGCAGATGAAAGATAGAGAAATGCTTCAGTCGTCTTTAAATGAGATCGATAAAAATAATAGACCGACGAAAATCCTAGGTGATTTATTGCACGGAAACTGAACGAATTACACATGCGATGAAGACACACACTCACACACTCACACACACACACACACAAATACACGCACCCGTTCATTCTCAACTAAATTGATGGTTTCGAATTGTTAGAACTACTTGGCTTAGCCTGGGCCCACGGCCTTGCTACAGACAGAAAAAAAAAGAACTGCATGTGGACAGCATTCAACTTGAAATAAGCTTCAGTTTATCTTACCTTGCAGTCGAATTCGCGTTTCACTCTTCCCAAGAGCATTCACACTAGAACAGCTGTAAGCGCCAAAGTCAGCCTTTGTCAGGTGTCGTATCGTCAAATTGAGGTGCCACGTGTACAGGTTAATCATCGCTTCAGATATGTTATACTTGTTGCTGCTATGCAGTTTAACGTTACCTAAAAGTCAAGGATATCATATAATATTGAAATAATTGTCAGCAGTCAGAAATCTAATTAGAAATCATGCAGCCGAAATTGTTCTTGTAATATACAAAGCCGCTCAAACTGCCATCTCTCCCTTCACCGTCCTTAATATTTTTTACTTAATTTTACAAACAATATTTAAAACCTTAATGTCCACAGAGATCGACCCCAGTTTTTCAAACAGAGCATTTAAAACATAAAACATTTTATGCCTGCATTTCCCTTGTTGCGGTTCAATAAAGAAAGCAAATAACGCTGGAAGCTAGCTATGAAAATCATGACTGCTCTTGTTGCTGATATTTTCTTTCAAGTAAATTGTTGCGCTTCAATTTAACAAGAGTGTTCTAGTCGAGAGTGCCCGACTTGGAGACACCCTTAGCCTTAATAAATGCCTAACTAACTAGAAACAGCTCACGAAACGCAAGCTCATATTTTAAACAGGCAAATTCCTTTATTGACTTTCTTATCTATTTAATGAGTATCGGGATTTACTTAGCCTTATTAAAGATAAATTGGAAAAAGAATTCTCTCTGCAAACGTTGCCCAACGTTTTCCCCACCAGGAGCTAGAGTTTTCCAATTGGGACGTGACTTTTTCAAACTTCTATTTTACTTATTATACTGCCTATTATTTATTTATAATGTATTTAAATGTAATAATAAAAGCAATGTTACCTTCATTTCGGTACCAGCCATTAAGCGGCTTCGGATAAACTTCCACTATGCATTCCAATATAACTTCTCGTTCAACCGGTGCTCCTACTAACTGATTAACAGCTTTAATAGTTGGAGGAACTGAAATTGCAAAAATTGATGTGAGTATATTGTTAAACAAGAGGGTTTTAGCCGACGCTGACCGACTAAAAAATATCCTAAACTAGGAATTTTAAGTATGCAGCTCGAGGCGTCCTTACTGACAAATATATATATATATATACATTTAGACAGGACCATTATAACTTCTATTTATACCCTGAATCCAAGAAAATTGTTTTAAAATATAATAATGTTCTTGCGAAAAATTATGAACCTCTCGATCTCAGCACTCATAAGAATTACTGACTTGACATTTTGAACCTTGGTCTCCCGGGGACTGCACAGTTCGAGTTTGTTTTAAATCATCGATAACTTGCTCCGTTTCCATGACATCTTTGATGGGATGTGTACGAGAGCCAACATAGCGCAGAGTTTTTATGGGTTTTTAGTGATACTTCAAAAATAAAGTCTCAATATTTGGAAATGGGACGAGACAAACTAGTTTTGCATATAATATAGGAGTATATTTACTTCAAATGTCAAGTCGTACAGACGGCCAGGAGGACATATCTAAACTGAATAAGATTAAGTATATTCTCGTTGGTATATACAGCTTAAAAATTTTACACCTTTTGGATACCTCTCCATATGTATAGAAGGAAGGGTATCGGCTAGACGGGCTTTCACAGTTCTTTATGATGTAATTAAAATTCGAATAGCTTGAATAGCAATATTAGTTCGTATTGAAATTCCCAAATTGAGTTGCCTATATACTTTAATTTAGATGAAATAACCTTAGATGATTCAAAACAATTTCCTTAAAACTAGCATCAAATGTAGTTATATGTCGGTACGTTAAAATGATACATTTTATATGTTTACTCTTTGTACTTTTCCTGGCAGATTACACTGGCTGGGGTAAGCCAAAGAAGCGCGGGTGTGCTTTGGTCGGGTGCGTGAGTCGCAGGCTAAGTCTGCGGAAAATGGTAGGGTGGTGTTTTCATAGGATTACTTTCTGCTAGTTGCGTGGATGCCACCCGAGTGTATGTGTGTGTGTGTGTGTGTGTGGGAAAGAGAATGACAACTGTAATGTTCTGTTTCAATGTAGCAAAAGCTCTTGCTATTTTTCCTCTCACTGGATGGTGTTTTGCTATAGGGGGTTGTGTTGTTGTTGTTGTTGCTGAAGGATAATTTTAAGCCATAAATAAAATGGATTAAAGCCCACTGATCCGCTCATCAAAAAAGATTTCACCCTTTGTAGCACTAAGACATTATTAAAGATTTTCTTCAAAATCGATAATAACATTCCTTTCTACAGTGTAAATTTACGTTATTTTAGTTTGCAATTTTCGTTTTAGCTTTTACTTTCACATATAGTAAAGCAGTAAAATAATAAGAGAATCGAGCAAAACTGACATAATAATGAGCTTTATCGCAATATACGAAATACGCAATATATATAGGAAAAGTAAGAAGGCTACAGCTTTTCAATGTATCTTCTTTTTTATTGGTTTTCCCGCTACGACTGTAACTTCAAATTAGTTGGGCGCTCAGTTGGCGTTGCAAGTTCATAAGTTTGCATATCCTCGCAACAACAAAAACACTGAAAAATTTCTTGCAAATATGCGAGTACCAGGCCCTAGGCTAGAAAAAGGGTTAAAAACGACACGATTATTATTCGATATTTAGTTATTTTGATAAATGTTTGCTAGAGCTGCAGCAACAGCTGCTGCCTGAGCGATGCTTATTTTACAGATGCCGAGACAGGAAAGCATGAACTAATATACATAACGGATTTTCTACAAAAAAAATTTTTAAGTATGGCTTCGTTTGCCCAAATCCTTGACGCATTTAAATATTCCTTTCTCTAATTAGCAAGTAGCAATTAAAGAAATCGAATATGTCAACATGTTAACAAAAAGAGTTTGTTTGGCAAATTGCAATTTGCAATTTGATACCGCTGCAACGCAAAGTGAACAATCCAAATGCATTTTAACTTATGACCTTGTGAATGTTGATTGATTTCGAGAGGACCTTATGCAATCTGTTAAATTGGGTATATTATAGATTTTCGAGGTCTGCCAAATATGCGATAAAATATCAGCTAAAACCCATAATGTTGATTTTATTTCCATTTTTGATATCGGCGGATTGGAATAGTTATTAACAATTTTAAGTTAACTTGAATTGTTCGTGCTATAGAAAAATAAACTTTAAAAAATTTGAGGTGTCAATTCGGCAAAGTCTCTGAAATCTACGCATGCATGCAGACGGACTCGGCTAGTTCATAATATAATAAATTTAAAAAAGAATGGGATATATTTGCATATTGTTGAATATGAAGCATAAATTTACATCCTTATTTGTTTAATATTAATGCCAAATTGGTTATAATTTAAACAACAATTTTTTACTGTGTGGTCATTAAAATGTGTAAAGCAGACAATGCATCAGCAGTTGGGCCTGTGTGCTAGTTCAAATTCGGAGCTGTATTTTCCTGTGTTTGACATAGACACATTGCCCAAAATTGTAGTTTTATTTTCCTACGCTGCCGGATTGCCCAGTCTCTCACAATTATGGAGTTGTTATTTTCAAATGTTTACGACTGGCTCATACTAGCACAAGGATCCGATGTAGTGCACAGTGTGTACATACGTGAATTCTGTTATATGTAAATGTATGTACTTGAAATGGCTTGCATGCACATATATGTACGCATGCATATACATTTATTTTCTATAACACATTCTCACTTCTACATACGCACACATATGAAGTAAACAGAATAATAGCTCATGACAATAGTTCAATGTGTGCTGCCCGCAGTGCTGCCAATCCAGCTAAATTTGGCTATTTTCAGTTGCCGGAGGCTTTGACTATTTTTAAACAGATTTTTTTAACGAAATTTAGAAAAATATTTGACACCCAATACATGAGGACTTTTATTTTAATTTTTACAGATTTCTTATCGTCTAAAGATAGCGAAATTTTCCGTTTTAGCTGAAATATAATATCTTTAATTGGATGGATAATTCAAGCCTCAAGCACTGCATTAAAAAAGGAATTTCCGACCCTAAAAAAGCATTTTTTACAAGTCTATTCGTATAAACAAAAATCTTTTGACTGAAAAGCGCACGTGGACACAAACAACACGAGGTAAGTTTCGAATGAATTGCCAAAAGGGGCAAGTGAACCTTTCCAACTGTTTCTAAAGAAACTGCTCAAATGGAGGCAACTCTTTGCTTCTAAGTCCTATGAATTTTGTTTTCTTATTTATTTCAGCTCTTTGTATGTATTAGCCCATACATTTAGCTACATTTTGAAGTGAGAGTTGGCAGCACTGGCTGCCAGCTTCACTGCTGCAATTCTCGTTACGAGTAGTTATTACAATAGGACGCACATTCAGTTTCTTGTAGTTATGTACATTTGATACGCCCTGCTTGAAACATACGAAGTGCGACTATCGCAACTTTCTAAGTACAACTGGTACTCTCTGATTTTGACTTGACAATCTCATGGTGTTGATTTGTGTCTAGTGCCACACCAACAGCATGTTTAAGGATCTGGAACGCTCGCTCTAAAAGAAAATTTTACAGCAAAACTTTCTTGTTTCAGCCAAAGTCACAGAAATCTTAAATAATTTTACAGACATTTTTACGTAAAGCAAAGCAAAATGCTTCAAAGCCAAAACAAAAGCCCTAAACCAAAGATATCTGTCAAATTCATTCGGCCAAAGCCAAAATGAAGGCGTTGACAGTCGAATTTTCACATCTATTTAAGCATATGTGATCCTACACTAGATGGACCTTTCACCAGGTTCCATGCATCTTCTCATCAAATATTATACATGTTCATAAAATGCAACATTAAAGTTATATTCGATTTTGCGTAGATTGAATACCCTACCATATTTATGATATATTTATTCCAAAGTTAAAGTTGAAACGGAATTATTATACGAAAATTACATATGCTTTTTCTGAAAACTATATGATGTACTACTTCGATCCTGATAAAAGTTTTTCATTTTATGATATATTGATATTGATATATTTTCAATCATAAAATCAAGCGGCCAAGAGTTAGCCCAACGAGCCCGAAGTTTAGGGATCGTGCCCCTAAGAAGAAGGAAAAAATAATATATATATAATAATTTAAATTCGAATATCGGGTTTTTAATAAACTAAAACAAGTTTTTCATTTTTGTAACTGACAATGTATATGAACGGAAATAAATTGGCGTATCGATTTATTTTACTAGCTTTATAGGACGAAAATAACACAGCTAATGGAATCGGATAAAATAATTAATAATTTACCTATTTTCAACGGGTAATAGAAAACAAAAAAGTTAAATGCTACACATTTTCGCTAGTTATTCGACCTTAAAACGTAATATCCAAAATTTGATAAGCAGGTATTTATTATTTTTTTAAAGTATATTTATCTTTGTGAAGAAAACTTATATATTGGTCAATTAGGCCTTGGGCCCCAATAAGGGTAGGGCACATCGGGGGGAACATCTATATTTTAGAGATTTAGTGACTAAATACCAAATTGGAAAAATCCGAAAATCGATAACTGATTAGTACCCTAGATTATGCGGTTATTGGCCTATGAAGGAGTATTACGCAGTCGGACGCAACAAATATTTTTATTTATTGTGGTACATTTTGATTTGGTATCAGATCTTTGTTAAGCTATCTTTACGAGTAATTAAAAATATTTATATTTAAATATATAAACTATTGTTAGTAACTTACAATTTACGTGAACATCAAAACGTTTGCTTACTGAAGGTGGGACACCATTAGATGCTATGCACAGGTAGCCACCCATATCGGAACGGTGAACATTTGTGAGAGTCAGTCGCTCGCCTTCCACCGACTTGAATGCTAAAACAACAGGACAATTGTAAGGGTGCAATTTAATACCTAAATTGATTTTCGTTTCAGATAAATAAAGTCCTTATTACAATAAATAATAATTATATAAGTGCATACATACAGTTGTGCTTCTTAGGTATCTGTCTGTTCACTAATATCGACTTATTTCTGATAGCAGATAGTCTAAGAAGCCATATGAAGTTAAGATTTTAAGATATGCACCTTGCTTGTCTCTACTCTCCGATCTTATTATGATGTCCTTTCCGCCTTCACGTCGCCACTGGACCATAGGTTCTGGTACACCTATTTGTTAATACAATAAGTAAATGAGGAAGTGTAAATGGATAATTTGTAAAAAAGGCTATCTTCGGCATGCCGAACAAAATACCATGGCAGACATTTTTAATAGAACTCTTTTTTTGATTGCTTGTTTGATAAGGTACCAATGTTGTTAAGATATGTTTATATATAGGGAGTATCGTGAAACAAAAAAGCGTACAACGCGAATACACGCTAAGGCTAGCTACCTGCTAAAAAGTTGTAAACAAAATAATATGGAACTGGAAATTTGCCAAAAATTTGGCCAATTTGGTTTAAATAACTTTTTCTTAACCGATCTTAATGAAATTTTCAGTAGTAGATCTTGTGGTATAGAGTATTCATAAATTCTCAAAAAGAAAATTGCTTCAAAATTGTGGCCAATTTTATTTTTTTAAATTTGATTTTGACTGTTAATAAATTGCCATCAAACTTAACTAACTCACTCGCCAAAATTTCAACGTTAATTTCGGCATTTATTCTGGCTGAGACTGAGCATATAATTATATATTTGTACTTTATGGGTTCTCGGCTGTTTATGCCGAAGATGCCGTCGTCTGTCTGTTGCATACACTAAACAGTATAAATTTCTGTTTCACCCGGATATGAGATATAAGGTTTACAGATTAATCTTGATTTAGGGTAGAGGGACCTTCATTGTGCAGCTATTGGCAATAGTTTTTGCATGTGTACGAATTGGTTTAGTTTTAGTGATATATACGTAGTTCAAATGTAAGTAGAAGTTAATAATAACTTTAATTTAAAATTTAAAAAAACGCGTGAATACCTGTCGCACTGCACTGTAGCGCAATACTGCCACCTTCTGTGCTAACACCTTCATCAATGTTTTCGTCGGGATGGTATAGAATATCAGGTGGAACCACGACATCTAAATAGCCAGACTGTAAAAAGACAATACACATTTTTCTGATTATAAATATTTAATCATATATGTTCTTTAATTAAACAAGAGACAGGTAACATACTGAATAATACTCTCCAAAATGTACTGCCAAATTGGCCTACAATATCGATTTTAACGATTTGCTGAGCGCCCAATAATTGTATTTATTAACACTTTATCACATGCGGTAAAACACGGTAACAATTCGTTTCTTTCTGTTGATATGGGACGGCGAGTTCGGACGCAGAGATATAATACATTTTCATTTTTAATAATGCTAGTTAAATTCCCTTATCCATTTTGTACGCTAAAAAGTGAACTTAAGTATAAAAGTGCATATTATGAGCTTCATTATGATTTGTCAGGAGAATGTCTTGTATTTGAAAATGTTTTAATAGTAACAAATTACGAAGCGTATTTAATCGTTTTGGATGAAATCTACGCATAAATGTCCATTAAGAAGCAAGCGCCAACTCAATAGGCCCTAGGGTGGGCCGAATGTATACACTTTATGGAGTCGGTAATGCTTCCTTATGCCTCTTACATACATTTGCTCAAGTTCTTTTTTTATTTTTTATCCATTTTCAATGGATCCAAGGTATAAATATATTGTTTAATTTTGAATTTAATCTAAGAGTGTTCAATTGCGGCAAATCGTTTTATTGATATTAATATTTAATAACGGAAGCCTTGAAACTAAATGCAATTTTCGCCCTCAACTCTATTTTGCAATGCGCCGCACAATTTCGACCAGTGCCTATCTCTGCCAAAGCCTTATTTTACAGCTCACACATAAGCTCGGACTGAGACGCATATGGCGATAAGATTACCGAGTCTGCCAAACACCTAACGTTTGGAAATTGAATGGATGACCACATGGTGGGTCAGGGGTAGCGCTGTGGTTGACTTACCAGACTTTTCATGGGATCTGTATTCACTTGACACATGTAGCTGCCAGAATCATTTAGCTGCACGTGGGATATGTGAAGTTTCCAGGTGTTGTGTCCATTGTGTGTCACTGATAATCTTGGATTTAGGGATACCATATGTGTATGTATACCAAGTATTGCTTTTGAATCTGATTTAATCCATGCCACCTGAAATTGCGAAAGCAAAGGGAGACACACCATCGTTGGTCAGCCTTATAAGTTTACTTCGGCCAAGTTCACCAACAACCCTCCGTAAACTAACTTGCATTCACATGGAGATACATACATACAGACATACATAGCACAATACTCTGTTCTTGTGGGCCTTAACATATTTAATTGTATACTTACGCAGAAGTACATGCGAATAACATAAAATATATTTGTACAGATGGGTAACGCGACCAAGTTTGCGCCAATGCGGTTTAATGGCTTATTGAGTAAACCAGGTTGAGTTACAAGAAAGTCCACATCGCTATTTTGTTTGCCGGACTTTAGCAAATGGGTTGCTCTTTTTATACCCTATGCCCATTAGAAAGAAACACACAATTACGCAAGGCGCAGTCTGCTTTTGCTGTGCTGCTTCTTGATTATCCGACTTAATACGTGGGAGTTGGGGAAGTATCTGAGTACTTCTTGCTCTTTTAATCTATGCCGGTATATGCCGATGATATTGTTCTTACTTACTCAACTTACTCTCTTTTATCGTATACATACTCAAAATCTGCCAAATCGGATCAATTTTTCAAAATTATTGCAGAAAACTTTTCAGTTTGATAAAATCCCTACGAGATTTGCTGTTCTTCTAACAAATTAGTAAAATCTTATCAACATCGGACCACTTGCTTGATGTAGGTACAATGGAAAATGGTTTGGGGGTAATATTTTCGTATAAAATCTTTCTCCTTTATTTTACTTGGCGTAAAAAGGAGCAGAGTTAAATGCAAGAAACACAACAATGAATGCTAACCATAGCTGCGAGCCGTCAAAACTTTATTTGTTGTTAGATTTGTTGAATAAAAACAACTTGTGAAATAGGTTTGGTTGAAACAAATTTTTTGCCTTTTTTTTTTTGTAAATATCAATGCTAAATTTTGTTCTTTTGACATTGTGGTAATTGCAGAGTATTTATGAACAGGCCAAATATCAATTTTATAATAAATGACAATTTTCAATTGTATTAAATTTAATTTTGAATAAATTTAATTGTTCATTTGAATAATTTTGGGAACGTGGTGAAGCAAGTTATGACTCGGCTGATTGGCTCGCACCGTGAATCAAACCACAAATATTCTTATGATTTCATCTTTGATTTTACAATTTTATTTCTGATATATTGTTTTTTTTTTGGGAAAATTAGTAAGCTGCCAAAGTGTTGGCTTTTGGTGCAATTACAAGAACACACGCGTTTAATAAAAGTTAAAGTTTATTAGAAGTAGCTAACTCAAATTTAGGGTTATCAGATTGTAAATACAACAGATCGTTAAACAAAAAATGCTTCAATTAAACATATCTTAAAGCTGCCTCTCAACTTGTTAGCAAAGTTCTTTCAACATTGGGCTTTTATATCAATGGATCACATTTTATGAACATTATCTAAACATTATATTTATTCGTTAATAGCTTAATTTTCTATATCTTTATGTCAAACGTTTTAGATATTAACTTACTCGATATTGTCCCAAGTTGTCGACAACGCAGGTGAATGATATGTCACGTCCTTGTGGTACGGTTATATTTGTTAGTTGTGCCAAAAAGTGCGGTCCCACTTCATCAGGTTCGCTTTGACCTTTTATTTCAGATGAAAAATTTAAAAAAGTTGAAATAAAATGTCCAAGAATAAGTATGTGAGCACAGGTATACAGGTGTGACTTTTATAATTAAAAATCTTTTATATAGCACAGTAATAAAGGATATAAAAAAAGCAAAAATGTAATAAGCAAATGTAAAAAGCACCACATGGTTATTTATACTCTTAAATAAAGGGGCAGAAGTTGTGATAATTTCACGAAAAGGAATTTAAAATAGCTAAGACTGCTCTGGTCGGGAGTGCCAGACTTAGAGATTCTCTAGATGGCGCACAAAAATTCTAGTTTCCCCCTGCATATTTTATTTGGAGGAGGTATCTGCGACACTATACGAAAGTCACAACCAAATTTGGTATTAAAAGCTCCGTGGCATACTTAGAAGCAGAATGTGGATGTCCATTCTTAATGATTTCATTGATAGGCAAAAGAGCATTTTATTTGTTTTATCTTTTTCAATGGGTTTAGGGTTCTAGAAATAATATATAGCTTCTATGCTTACCATTATTTTAACCAATGTAAAAATATGAATAAAACACGTACTATTATTACTATTAAGTTCTTAAGTAGGGCCCTTAAAATAATTTGGATGTCGATCAGATGAAACTTAAAACTTTCCCCAAAAAAGGTTTCAATTTTCCGAAATTGTGAAATAATTAATAAGAACACATTCCATTACAAAATGAAAAGTAATATTTACATATGTCAAGGGCCCACTCTTACCTTGTATATTTGGTAACGAATGACTTCCTTCTGTGCACAATAATCCGGTGAGCAACAAAAGTGTGACGGAGGCTAAGGTCCTCACGCAGAATTGTGTCTGAGTCATTGGGGCAGTCTTCATTTTAATCGCAGGCTTCTGATCGTCAAAGGATCTTCAGGTACTTCCAAAAACTTACTATCTTATAAAATATTAATAAAAATCTCGCTATTCGAGCTGATCCCTTGCTGGTGATATTCGTTTACTTAATCCATAGAAGCATTTCCGCCAAGTATTGTCTTTGTTAACAACTCATCACTTAAAGTACATTCCAAAAAAATAATTCTGAAAAGCAACAAGAAAAATAGTTGTATTTAAATAAATATGCTATACAAAAAGCAGGAGGTGTTACCCCGCATTTCCTTGTTCATATATATTATGACTGTCAACGAGAAAGTATGGATATGTTTGGAACATAGAAGATTTCATATTAACTCAGCGGTTGATGCTGATCTAGAATATATGTATGTACATATATACTTTATGGGGTCGGAGATTTCTCCTTTTATGCGTTTCATACTTCATGCCAAAATTATAAAAAAGGAATAAAAATATAGATCAAATATATAAGACCATCCGTCACATCCATTACCATAATTAATCAGCGATATTTCTGATGATGATTTCATTTTCCTAGCTGTAGGTTGATCAGTCACTCATTTTCATTAATATTATTACAGCGCTAGGGTTTCAAACATTTGCGGGGAATAGTGAGAGGAAGCGTAAAAGTAAAATATTTTGAAAGCTTAAAATGCAATCCGACTCCACAGTTGCATTCTAACTCAAACTCAAAACCTTGATGGTGATATATAAAGTGACTAGTATGCACTATATCAGAATGGGAATGACTAGATCAGAATAACATTTTTGTGCAGAGAAGATTTTAAGCAGAACCCATTAGGAGAATGAACGAGCTCTTTATCTGACCGTCATTTCAGAAAAGCTCACAACGAGAACATTGTCTACTGAACTAGTAAAGGGAGACTCCACGAAAATAATTTATTTTTCGTAGACAGTCAGACAACTAACGAGGCTTCGTCTTTCCGCATCACCAAATGCAATGGCTTATTACTCTCATTGAGTTGCTAGACCATTAAGGAATAACAATTTTGTTTCGATTTGAAGGAGGAGTGCATTAGTACTAGATCAACAATGCCACCGTCCCTTGTATTAAAGGGTGTCCACTTTCTCGACTAACATCCACAAGCGGAGCAATCGCCGTACGGAATGAAATGGAAACAATATAATCTAGCGATTTAATTGAGTAAGACACAGTTTCAAGGGGATATTTCACAAGAACTATAACCGGGGCATGACATGAGTCATATCGGGGTACAAACAACTAAACCAAAATTCGAATATATGATCAATATATAATGAACATTGATGTTTGCATACCAAAGCTAATCGAAAGCTATTCCTATTCTATGGTAAAAGGATTTCATATACAATACAATTTGTTTATAATATTTAACCATAATATACATTGCCCCAAGAGCCCCGGGCGGGCTTACATTTCCTAGTATATTTACATGTTGTGTGCTGTTAATGCAATAATTATCTTTATTTGTAAAGCTATTTTCTCAACCGAAAGGCATAAAATGAAAGGGCAAAAGGCAACCAAAGTTAAAACCAAATTCCTGTTGTGGAATGCGTCGCGCAATTCACTTTGCCAAGCGGAATTTCTTAACCAAAATTTCAAGTTGTGTACAAAAATGTGTAAAGTGGTGGAATAATACATCTAATTCAAGAAGAGTGGGCTGTGCTCACAATTAAGGAAACAATATTCTTAAATATTTAAGTATTTAAGAATAAGACAATTTTAAATTTAAGAAAATGTTTCATATTTAATATGTGCCTTTCATTTGCTTGTCTAGCCTAAGGAGCCATAAATACTTAAGTTCGCATAAATTTTCTCGCTCTAAAGTTGACTCCATTATAAGCGGATAGTTATCTGCATCTTGATAAAAGTTGATAAAGAAAACCGAAAAGTAAGGATATCTTTGGCACGCCAAAGACTTAATACTGTTGTAGAATTTTTCCTTACGGTTTTGCAGATACATATATGAGAATAGAAAACATTGCAGAAAAGAGTGCTTTAGTCAGAGTTGTCCGACTAGAGGATGCCCTAAACTTTATTCTACAGAAACCAGAAGCGAGCTTAACACAAAACTAGAATTCATAAAAATTAAAAAAAAAAATAGTTACCTCTGCCGATGTGCAGCTCGCAAATACCTTCAGCCATGCGAGCTGTTTGCCATTGCCTCATATCTTACAACCCTTCCAAGAAGGAAAAGTTTATCGAAAAAAAGAAGCTGAATTCAAAAAGCATTAAAACACAGCACAATACACAAATACAATCACAATTGCAAAATCATAACCAATCGGAGATCTTTTTGTGCTATCGAATACTCGTTTATTCGCAAAATGACAACGTTGGCAGCTAGCGCTATATACATGGGTACAAGTATTATTTTTCGAACTCTATCAATAGATAAAAATACAAGAATAATGAAAATTGATCAAATCTGATGAGATTTGACCAAGTTTTAGGATATTTGAGGGTACCATTGAATGAATTTACATGAATTTTGACTAAGAATAATGTTGCCAGATTTGATTTTGTATATATGTATGTATGTATATATGTATGTATGTATGCATGTAAATGGTCTTCTATACCAATAGCAGACCAATTTCTTTTGTTGTACGAAAAATTTAAATAAGAAAACGTATTTATTATAGCTGCCCTCCTCCTCGATTCTCAAAAATGTTAAAAAGGCTTGCATGCTTCACCTATGAATTAGGCGCAGGCGGCTTCAACGCTGGAAGCTGAGGAGCCGGAGCAGGAGGCGTATGTTTGTTGGTATGTAGGTATGTAGATATGTAGGTATGTAGGTATGTAGGTGTGTAGGTATGTAGGTATGTATGTATGTATGTATGTATGTATGTATCTATGGTTATAAATATTCCATGGTTTGAATTCACATCAAAATTGATTCTGATTTTTACAAGCGATACAATATATACAAACGTGACCTTAAATGATTGTTAACATAGGATATACTCTAAAAAGATAATTAATTTACAATTAAAACATTAAAAGATTATATTCCTATGCAGATATATATCAATGGGTAAAAGGGTACATCTCAGAGCTTATAAGAGCTAGAGACGCCTGAGACTCTTGTATAGTATGCACAGATTTTCACTTTTTGGATGCTACCCTCCATTCTCCACAAGCTTAAAATAACGTATTGTCATAGGTTTAGTATTCGAAAAGCTTGAAGTTTGAAAGTTTGCCAGGTCAAGTCTGTAGCTCTCAGATCAACAGTTTTATAAATAAGGACGGATGAACCGATAGGCAGAGGGATAGACCGACAAGCGGACATGTTACATACATTTGCACAAACCCATTTTCAATGGGTTCAGCGTATGAAATACAGCCTTTACAAGCCAACAGTCAATATAATTTTACATTGAGAATTGTAGCTGAGTAATGAAATATAAAGTATATCTGCTGTACTCAATTTTTATTATATTTCTAGAGCATTGCATATATTATCTTTAATTTGAACCCGTATGTCCTTCACATGTTAACAATTATTTAAAGAGACGTTTGTATATAATGAATCGCTTGTAAAAATCAGAGCCATCAATTTTGGTGCGAAACCGGATGCATGTGCGTAATGGTCATTCATCAACAATTAATCGCTCAGATGGAGAGAGAGAGAGTGTTAAAATAAGGAAAAATATTCAGTCGGAATTTTTAATTCTCAACGATTTCAATCAAAGGATTTTGCAAATGACCAACCCATGTGCTTGTCGGCTGCTTGTTGGTGAAGCAATGCGATTGCATAAAATGCTTTTACCACATTTTATGTTTGCTTTTGCACACACACCGAACATCAGCCCTCGACTCGACCGCAGCAAACCCAACTCCGTTCGTTACTTCTGTGACATCGTTGCCATCACCATAAAGTGCCTGCTGATCCATTTATTCATATTCAGTTTCAGCTAAAATCACACGAGTCTGTTGCAAACCATGTCCAATTTAAAAGGGTATACCCGAAAAGTAGTCGTCTCTAGCCATGAGTATGGTTAGCAGCAATGCACAATGCAGAGTCAATGCTTACACTTATGTATGTAAGTATGTACATACATAGTGCATTCAGTTGGACATTACGCATGTGGATTTGCATGACCGGATTGCTGGTTCGGCCACTAAGAGATACAGATATGTATGTATATATACGTTGTGCTGCTGCCGGATCCGGATGCGGAATTTCGAAATTGTGCACTGTCGGGTAATTCGAAATTCCATTCGCCACAATTTTTAATCAGAAGTAACTGGTGTGGTCGAGCATTTCCGACGGCCTAAAATAAAAATTCAAATAAAAAGATTTGCGTCTGAAATCTCATTAAAAACAATTCCGTTTGTGAAAACAAACAAATAAAAACAAGTGAACGAGCAAGTAAACGCACAGAAACATGGACATATCCATCCACACGCATGGACGACGAGCGCAATGCTTGCGCTCAAGCGTAATCCCTACATTTGTAGCACCCGGACTACCAATACCACCAGATACCCAGATGCTCTGCTCTGCCCCTCCGTCCCTCCGTTGGCAGCCACTGCTACTGCTACTGCCTTGAACTTGTCAGTTCGTTCATCCAACTGATGCTTTGGTGGGCAGGCGAGCAGCTTGGCATCGGCGTAGTGCTCCTGTTTGTCCATTTGATGACGAAGAGCTACCATCAATTTGCAACACTGCCACTGCCACCGCTTAGCTCCCGCCCAGGCGGCACTCGTGCTCCGCTGTTCGCCTGGTCACTGCCCACTCCCACTTTGAGTGTAAACACATAATCCATTTAAATTGTTTGTGGTTTTTCTTATTGTTTGTTTCCCTTCTTGTTTTCATTGTAGCTGCCGTTTTCGCTGCTGTCGCTGCTGTCGCTGTCATTGCCGGGCAAGCTATGCGAAGGCAAATCAGGCTCATGTTCGAGGCCTACCCATTGCCTGCTTTGCCTCTAGATAAAGAGAAAAGCGTTTTTTTTTTAAAAAAAATTAATTTTTTTTCCTTGTTTGAAGCTGTGACATTTGCTGTACTCAAAATAATGTGCATTACCATCAGTCTTTGCCTGGGCCTTGTTTGATTCCAACCGTGCGAAAATTAACGTATATCCGTACTAGTTTGAACCCCATTCCCACACAGGCATGTAGAAATTTACATTTTAAATGCTAACAAATTATTTTAAATTAATGAATTCAAGTAAAACGCCGC